ATATATAAAATGTTTCAACACCAAAGTATTAACTGGAATTTTTTATTCAGAAAAAAATATGTTTACAACTAATTTACTATCAGAAAAAAGTACTCAGTAATAACCTAATTTCACAGAAGTAACTTGAAAAAATAGGACGCAATATTGGAATTTACTAAGATACTGGAAGGGGCGACTCATTTTGATGCTGCTGAAATACAATCAGACAGCCACCACGGACCTCATCATTGAGGTGTCCGCGATGGTGTAGGCATCTGAGTCGCTAACCATGTTCATGGTCACTGACTCCTGAACCGTCTGCTCCACCACAGTCAGAGTCCTGCAGATATTCACTCTGACCTCCCTAATTCGCTCTTTTCGATCTCTCTGTGGCTCGCGGTACTAACACGTTCTCATGATACCCATGCGTCTCGTGGTACCCTCAATGACAGCCTCTCTAGTACTGATTGTCTCCATAATGGCTGGCTGCCTCAATAACGTCCGCCTACAGGATACTGATTGTGTCAATCATGGCGGTGGCAGGGCTCTGCCACTGCGCCTGCGTGGGAAACCAGCGTCGCTCTCAAAAACAGTGACCCCACCCGCGTTGCTAAGCAATAATGAGACAGCAAATGCTAGGGGAGCTGGCGTGCCCTCTAGTGGTGGGAAGGCGCAGGCGCAGGCACAGGCTGGGGCCAGGGCTCCTGTGCAGGCTGGGAGCTGTGGATGGACAGAGGGAAGGAAAGATGGACAGGAGAAAGGAAGGAGAAAAAAGAAAGGAAGAAGGAAGGAAGAGTGAACAGATGAATAGTTGGGGCTCCCAAGAGTGAAGGAAACTTGGGCTGGGCAGGCTGACAAAGCAAGATCAGATGCTCAGCGACAGTAACCCTCCTGAGACTGTCCCAAAGGGGGACTTGCTTTTTTTTTTTTTAAATTGTTGTAGAGAGGAAGGGAGAGAGGGAGAGAGCTCTTCTAAGTTTTGATATGTCGTATTTTCATTTTCACTTGTTTCAAGGTACTTTATAATTTCCTTTTTTTTCTTTGACTCATTGGTTGTTTAAGAGTGTGATTTTTAGTTCCACATATTTGTGAATTTTCCCTCACAAACAAACCCTCACTTTTAGGGTCAAATGACTTATAACCAAATATGGAAAATGTTAGGTCTGATCAAATAATTGATACCCACTCTCCTGGGAACTGAACTTTGGGACACTTCACAATGGACATTCCACTTGCTTAGACCATTCTCTCTCCCCTCTGGAGTTTCCCAGAATCCGGACCTGCCCAGAGAATTATCCGCCCAGAAAAAGCCTGCCTGGAGTCCTTTAAAAACCTGTGACTCCCCATCTTTGGGTGCAGGAGCCATGTGGGCCTCCTGCGTTCCTCCTTTGAGACCTTAACAGAAATAGAGTACTCGAACATTAGTTTAAACAAATTTGGGATCTGATCATTCAAACATGCTTGCCGTATCCGAGTGTGGTTCGAATGTTTGCTCTGTCCCTTCAAACTGTTTTTTGCCTTTTGGTGTGGCTTGTAATATTTACAGAAAGCTATTTCATGTCCTGGGTGAAAGAATTCGTGGTAACTGTTCTGCATTGATGAGGCAGTAAGGTGGGGGGAGGGGGAGCACTTCTTAGTCCATGAACTTTGGATTCGACGCCCTCACTCCACTCAGCCTTTCACTCGATGTGTAGCTTCATGGGCATCTGAGAGTTTTTTGTGTCTAGTAACTAGTTCAAAGTCAGGCTTTCCTCTCTCAGCCATTCCCACAAGCCTGGCCACGCGCGTCACGGCTCAGAAGGGGGTGGTTGGAGCTGGGTGATCACTGCAGGGACCCGTGTGGGTCTCTGGCGGCGGGGACTGGTCGATCCAAGTGCCCGCCGCCGACCGCCTGAGGCCGTGGCACGCAGGTGTGCGCTCTCTCGGGGTCCTCCAAAGTCCCTTCCGCAGCTCATCACACGCACCTCCCGGACCCCGTAGAGGCTCGGATCAGGGGGCGGCCCCCTAAACCTGCATCCTTCCCGGGAGCACTTTCGCCAATGGGAGCGGAGCGCGTTCCCTTCCAGCCCTGGCGCAGGGCGCGGCGCTGGGCGGGAGGGAG